GAGACTTGGGATCACTTAAATCAACCATCGCGAAAAAATAATTTTAAAAAATTTGTAGTTCTTTGTATCAATAGCGAACTGATTCGTGGGTTACGTCTTACGTGTTTGAAGAGCACCGCACCGGCTTGGTGACCAGGCCAAAGGGCAACGAAATTGTCTTCCGTCTGTCCAAACTTCCTCCTTTTTCCACTTGTTTTTCGATCGCTCAGAATAACGCATCATGAAATCTCCTGTCGTTTTTCCCTTCCTTGCTAGCGAACAAAGTATGTGTGGAGGGGTACAACATATATGTCTCCTCCAGAGCCGTTCTTTGTATGGTCACGCAACGCCTCTTCACCTTCGACTGAGTCACAGTTGAGTCACAGAGGTCAGAAAGGACCCTGGGAACGAGACTGTTGCGCGGGTTGAAGCGACGGTTGAAGCAGGCGCCGACAATATGGCAGAAATCAAGATCTTTGGCCTCGGAGAAAACTGCAAGCCATTGTGGAAAGATGCTGGTGCAAAGTACGACGAAACAGACGAACATTTAGTTATCATGGGTAAACCGGTTATGCAGCGTTGGGAAACACCGTACATGCATAAACTGGCTTCAATAGCAGCATCCAAAGGTGGTCGAGTCCTTGAGCTTGGCTTCGGACTGGCTATTTCGGCGACGAAAATTCAATCCTTTGCAGTAGATGAACACTTTCTTGCTTGGCCTTCTCTCGGTCATGGTTTGCCTTAAGCAGCCGGTAAATGAACAAAACTGCAAGCAAAGTTACAATATTTCATGTCTGTCATTTTACTCACTCTCTGTCTCCTCATTGGCTAACATGCTTAAGTTAATTTTGGACATCAGAGCAAACCTGCAAATTAGTTATTCATCTGCTAGCAGATGACTGACTAATCTGTATGATTCTCAACAGCAATAATTACTATAGATTCTGTTTTAGGGATATCTCAGTAGCCTGCAAGAGCAGACACCTTTTTCAGTGGGTGAGATTAGAACTGAAAAGGAAGTCTGCTCTCACAGGTTGAGTCAACCACTTACAGCTGCACCTCGACCTTGATTACTCCAAATATCACAAAAGCGTCATCCAACAATATTATTGTTTTAAGTCTGCACTTATCTTTTGTGTGTAGGCAAGGGAAAGCACATGGCATTAAAACCTGTATCAAGAGGACATCCATAGGAAACTTTCAAGATTCCACTTTAAAATTTAAAATTTCTGCTTAATTCAGTTTCACTTACTGTCCAAGTCAGAAAACCGTGAACGGCTGAATGCTGATTATGTAGTGACCAATCACAATAAAGCTCAGGACATGCAAGCAAACCACAAAACCACAACTTACCACGGTTGCTATATATTTGCGGTTTAGGTTTCTCATGCCTTATTGGTTTTCTTTTTGCAATACAATAACATTCCATGAATATTTCTGGTGTTCACAGTTTTGTCAGTTTCACAGAAAAGACATGAAAAGAAAATATGGGAAGAAAATAACTTTAACGTAGGACTTCACGAGTGACAGACTTGAAGTTACAATGGGGTCTTAAGAGGGCTTAAGACAAACATATGACCATGTACATGTGTGAGTTGTCAGGTAAAGGCCCACCCCCATAATTCCCCTGTCAGAAAAAGTCGTATAGTCTGGTTTTCAATGGTAATGGAGTCAGACTTGGAATCGTAATCAGAAGCGCATAGCTTATGATCTAGTGAAAACAGTGTTCCGATTCCGCTTACAACTCAGTTGCTTACATTCCACTTATGATCTAGTGAAAACCAGATTGTTGGAGTCGAAAGCAGAAGCAGAAGGACAAACCAATCACAATGCACCTTTCCACACTTTGTTATTGGTTTAGTTCTTCCACTTCTGCTTCAGACTCCAACAATCTGGTTTTCCCTAGATCATAAGTGGAACAGAAGAAACAGAGCCATAAGCAAAGTTGGAAGAAATGGAAATGCTCTGATTCTGCTGACTCAGATTCCGTTGCACTTATGACTCCAATATTTGATTTTCACCAGGTCATAAGTGCTCTTATGACTCCACTTACTAGAACTCCGACTCCATCGATAGTGAAAACCAGCCTTAAAGGCCCTCCTGAAAGTGTGGGTTTGTTTATATAATATAACAGACCCAGGATGGTGGGTAGTCCATGCCAGCTGGATTTGAATCAACAGCTTCCTGGTTTACCTTGGTGTAAAAACGTGTGATTTTTTTTTTTGTTTTCTAGGTATTATTTTCCTTGGTTCTATTGTGCTGACTTCTCAGTGGCTTATTTGTACTCATTGCTTTACGTCACTCGTGAGTCTCACAGGTTTTTACAACAAGGAGGAGCCCAGCTTCCTGATGATCAGTAGACCAGCAGGATCTTGTTTACTGTGGGTAATGTCGACCGAGATATTGGTCGACATAGCGGTTGATATAGCGGTCTACAGTCGGTCGATAGTCGGTCGACAGTCGGTCGATAGTCGGTCGATAGTTGGTCAATAGTCGGTTGATGGTCGGTCGATAGTTGGTCGATGGTCGGTCAATAGTTGGTCGATAGTCGGTCGATAGTCGGTCGATAGTCAGTCGATAGTGAGATAGACTATCAGCCGAGTATTGGTCGATATTTCGACGACGCACCTCGACTGATGTCTGTGATATATCGGTCAACTGTCGGTGGTATATCAGTCAACTGTCGGTGGTATATCGGTGAACTGCCGGTGGTATATCGGTCAACTGTCAGTGGTATATCGGTTAACTGTCATTCAAATATCAGTCGTGTGTTAATTTATCAGGTGAGTCCAATGGCTTTTTTTTAAGCAAAGATGTCATTAATTACTGTTCATGACATGCATTAAGAGCGAGGAATACACATCTTTTATTATCGGGCTTTGACCTGCTTCATCATGCCAAGTTCTCGCTTGTGCAGAGACCACAAATTAAACTTATATATTTCTGCATTGAAGACAGGAACAGTCCTTTGTTTAACAATCAGTTATTGATAATACGCGCTTATAATGCGCCGAGGAAGGTGACAAAAATATCCAGCAGACTGAACACATTCATTTATTGTTACAGCAAGGAAAATACTCATACGTTCTCAGTACATTATCCTGTCCTTTTGCTCTGTCCTTTCGCTTTATATTTATATTTTGTTCAAAATAAAGACTACCATGCGTATACAGAAATTAATATTGAATGGTAAGTCACTTTTGGTCATCCAATAAAAGGAAAACAGTATGCGCCGCGTTAACATTAATATTATCTTAACTTGTTAAGGAAAAACAAGTTTAAAAAAATGAACTGTAAATACATTATTTCATCAATGTAGTTCTGAGTCAGTTGAAAAATTCTCGGCATAGGAAAAATCAGCCAGATACAAGCCTTACACGGTGGGAATAAATCACATAACAAGAAGCTGAAGGCCTATCATTCTCACTTAGCGGACTTCTTCATGATTCAATTCTAGCCAGCCACGCGTAGCGAGACTCCCACCCCTGAAAAAAAAAAACGAGGGGAGGAAACGTCTGCGAAAAGGTGGTGGGCATCAATACAGATAGGCTATATATATATAAATGACTAATAGCTATTATTCCGGAATTTTGGCTAAGTACATTGAAGTTTGAAATTAAAAAAGCAAAAACACAATTTAAAAAAACAGTTAGGTCCAAGCTAGAAAATGCTTTCTAATTTCTTGTTTTCCAAGCTAAAAAATGTAGGAAATGCTAAGTGTCGACCGACCATCGACAGATTTTCGACCAATTACTGACCGATACATCGGTCAAGTATCGACCAACTATCGACCAACTATCAGTGAAGTGTCGGCGAAATGTCAGTGTAATGTTGGCGAAGTGTCGGCGAAAAGTCGGCGAAGTGTCGGTGAACGAAAAGCTATATCGGCCGAGACACATCTGGAACGACTATCGGCCGTGTTTCTCTCGACCGAGTGTCGACCCACTATCGACCGACTATCGACCGCTATATCGACCGACTGTCGACTGAGCCTCGACCAAGTATGGACCGACTGTCGACCGAGTATCGACCGACTGTCGACCGAGTGTCGACCGACTATCGACCGAGTGTCGACCGCTATATCGACCGCTATATCGACCGATATCTCGGTTGACATTACCCACAGTAAACAAGACCAGCAAACTAAATGTGTTTTAGATTTTCTATGCTTAAAATCAAAAAAAAAATTCACATAGACGAAAAATGAAAACAACAACGATGACACTGATTAAAATGTTAAACTGAGTCAAAATTATAAACTTTGCGTCGATCAACAGTTACATTGACCATATAATAATCCCTCCAAATGAGCTGACCCTTTCGAAAATTATGGCAAAACAATAAAATATTGAGAAAAAAAAAAGAAAGAAATCATAATCAAGGTCTAATAGAAGGCCAGCTCCAAAATAAAATAACTGTCAGTGATTTTTTTAAAAAAGCAATAAATGGATCTCGTTTTATAATTTGAACTGGGATCGACTCTTACATCTAGTATTTTAACTGATTTTTACTTACCCACTAACAGAAATAGTGCGGCTCCTGGTATAAGAAGAAGTTTAACGTCAACAGAAAATTTCTCATGAGACTTGGGATCACTTAAATCAACCATCGCGAAAAAATAATTTTAAAAAAGTTGTAGTTCTTTGTATCAGTAGCGAACTGATTCGTGGGTTACGTCTTACGTGTTTGAAGATCACCGCACCGCACCGGCTTGGTGACCAGGCCAAAGGGCAACGAAATTGTCTTCCGTCTGTCCAAACTTCCTCCTTTTTCCATTTGTTTTTCGATCGCTCAGAATAACGCATCATGAAATCTCCTGTCGTTTTTCCCTTCCTTGCTAGTGAACAAAGTATGTGTGGAGGGCTACAACATTATGTCTCCTCCCCAGCCGTTCTTTGTATGGTCACGCAACGCCTCTTCACCTTCGACTAAGTCACGGTTGAGTCACAGAGGTCAGAAAGGACCCTGGGAACGAGACTGTTGCGCGGGTTGAAGCGACGGTTGAAGCAGGCGCCAACAATATGGCAGAAATCAAGATCTTTGGCCTCGGAGAAAACTGCAAGCCATTGTGGAAAGATGCTGGTGCAAAGTACGACGAAACAGACGAACATTTAGTTATCATGGGTAAACCGGTTATGGAGCGTTGGGAAACACCGTACATGCATAAACTGGCTTCAATAGCAGCATCCAAAGGTGGTCGAGTCCTTGAGCTTGGCTTCGGACTGGCTATTTCGGCGACGAAAATTCAATCCTTTGCAGTAGATGAACACGTCATAGTAGAATGCAATGACGGAGTCTTCAAAAGGCTGGAGGCATTTGCTAAAACGGCCAAGCAGAAGGTGACGCCTCTGAAAGGTCAGTTGTGGTGAGGTCAATCAATCAACCAATCAATCAAATCAATCAATCATCAATCAATCAGTCAATCAATAAATCATCAATCAATCAATCAATCGATCAAATTTATTACGGTTATGACTATATTCTTGATGGACAGCCTATTAATTCAATTTCAACCAGCTACAGTGTTAGGTAGCAGACAGTTTCTTTTCTGGCAAGGTTTTTGGCATGTATGAAGTTGTTCAGACCTTCTAAAGGTATTTCGCATGGTTGGTTTGTTTACATCCCCTCCAACTAACTGAGGGCTTGTTAGGGTAAAATTCCAACAAGTGAACTGACCTTGAAACAGCAAATCTTGTGTAATTTGCGCACCCCTTGGTTGAGTACTGGTTGGCACTATCGGTCAACGTGTCAGCCAAGTATTGGTCGACTCTTGATCACCATATCGGTTGACTGTCGGTTGACATGTCGATAGATATGTTGGTCGACACTCGTCCAATATGTCGGCCGGTGTATCGACCAACATGTCAACCAAAGCGTTGGCTCATACACCAGTCAGTATACCAGTCGGCACTCGAACGATACAAGCTTAAGGGGTGTCAATTGTTGGTGGAATATCAGTTGACTATTGGTGGTGCATCGGTTGACTGTCGTTTATCCTGAATTCTCTATTAAGCCCCCCAGGGGGCTTATTTATTTCAAGCCCATCTAATGGGGGGGCCTTATTTGAGAGGGGTGGGGGGGGGGTATTTAATTTAGAAAAGATGATGGTATTAGTTCTCCATAAAGACCTAGAATACAAAGTAGGTAAAGGTTGGAGGTTATGCAGCGAAGGATCAAAAACAAATCAGAACTTCCTGTTGGTAAATAAACTATCCTGGATCAGTCCACTCAAAGTTAAACAGTTGTGATTGATTAATACAGTCTATTATTATTAGAGGGCTTATTGGAGTGAGGGGGCTTAATGTAGGATTTACAGAACTTTAATAGAATTTGTGTTTTAAAATCAGAAAGGGGAATCTGCATGGTTTCAGTGTTACATGAAAGATGTCCCGGTCGAGGGGTTTGAAAATAATTTCCTTTCTGTTGTTTGTGTCAACCCAGGTCAGCCTCACCGTGTCAACTTGTTGAATTTTTGCTGTTGCTCTACACATGTTATAATGTTAGATTGTCCATCAATACCTCTCAAAGGCATGCCATACTGGTCCTTATTTTTTCCAAAAAAAAAATGCACACGCTTGACATTATACTCTCACATTAGACTGGTAAAAGCCGCCAAAGCTAAGTATTTTCAGGAATGCCCACATGCTTTCCTGAAAGGTTCATGTATATGGGGCTGTCAATGTGGAGGGAGGAAGATCCCAGCACTCCAGGCATAGTTCAACAATTAAATGAATATCGATTTCCAATATCAATTGATAAAAATCTATAAAGAAAAAAGTTGTGACTTTGATTAATATCAATTTCTGATATAAAATGATAAGGATTGATTTATTGATTTTTAATGATTCCCATTGATTAATATCAGAAAAGACTTAAGTCATTTGGTAGAAGGTCAGGATGTTTTCTGTACAGTATTATTTATTGTCATTCAGTCATGATAGTATGCAGTTCTTTAAATTTATTGATAAAAATTTAATACTGAAAAAGAACAAAAACAGGAAGAGATCTTCTGATAAAATCTTTAAATATTCCTCAGCTTTCGCCAAACCTACATGTTCATGTAGTACGTCCCCTTATCCGGAAAGATCACAGCGCTCTGGAGTACTTCAATGCCTGTATATATGTTACAGGTCAAAACTGAATTGTGTTGAACAACACTAACCGAAGAGAACATGGTGTCTTGTTCCATTCCTTTTCGGAAGCTAAAAAATTCTGAGGAAGAGAGAAAGTTAATCCAAAATGGTACCCTAAAGTCAACAAGCACAGTGAAAAAGTAGTCTTTTAAAATTTTTTCTGGATTGGCCGAATGGCAGCAAGTCATTCATAGTACAGTACTAAAAACTTACACCAAGAATTCCTAGGAGTACCCCCCTTAGACCCTAAAGAGAATAAAGGACCACTCATAGTCTAACAAACTGCTGACTTAAAATCATTTAAGTCACAGCAAAAGTAGCAAACTCTTTAGCAAGCTTTTTCACACATAGATTGATGTACTTTTTTATCTTTTTATTCCCATAGGCCTGTGGGAGGAGGTAGTGCCCTCCCTTGATGATGAATCATTTGATGGCATCATGTATGACACGTACCCCTTGTCAGAGGAAACATGGCACACTCATCAGTTCTTGTTTATCAAAGACCATGCCTACCGTCTCCTTAAACCAGGAGGAGTGCTGACCTTCTGCAATCTGACGTCTTGGGGAGAGTTGCTTAAGACAAAATATAATGACATTGAGAAGATGTTCGAGGAAACACAAGTCCCTGAGTTACTGAAAAGTGGTTTTGTAAGAGAGAACATATCAACTGAAGTTATTGATGTTGATGTTGATCCCAACTGCCTCTACTACAGTCACAGGAAAATGATTGCTCCTACTGTTACAAAGCTTTAAACTCCAACAATTTTTTTAAATTTTTAGCAGGGGTTTTTGTTGAAACCAAATATGTGCCCACTTTTATCCCTACCGAATATACTATTTTATTGAATGGGTGTGGCCAAACATTATTAATCTGAGCTTTGAGCTACTACATGATGTATACTTTATTACATCATTTAATAAACACATGCATTTGTATTGAAATAAAATGGTAAACTGAAAATAATATAGTCTGTGCTAAACCCTGTCTAAATTAGCCACTCCAAAGAGAATTAGGGTGTACAATTATTAGGCTCTGCAGCTTTTCAATGCATGTACACTGCATTTTCTGTGCTAGCTCAAATTACATTGGCATGATAAAGGAATAGGATTTAAGAATCATCTATTGTAAATAGATTATGAATTAATTTTGATGTAAATATGAAGGCATATTGGTGCACAAGGCCAATCCCCAGTCATCTTTATAACATGCAAGGCGCAGGAGTAGAGGGTGATGGGAACCTAACTTTGCACCTCTGGGAAGAAGTCACGCCAGCTGCACATGTTCCATACAGATACTGTCACATGACTGTATACCCTAGGTTTACTGACCCAAGATAAATGCGGGCCACATGCACTGGCCCTATGTGTATGCCTGGTACACTTTTAGTATCCTCCTGTCAAGAATTTTTGATCATTCAATTTCTGTATGGGCTTGCAAGAAGTGAAGGAAGGGGTGTTACGAAAACTCGGACCTCGAAAGCACAGACCTCAAAAACTCACACCCCCTGAGCGTCTCGAAAACACAGACCCTCAATTCAACATTTTTCAAATGTCGATATTATTGAGTACCTTTAACTTTCAACTAACTATGAATTATATCAGAGCACAAAAAGGGGGGTTTCGTGATACTTGCGCCATGTCACTATATAGTTTATACCATTGAAATGAACAAACAAGTCAGCTGTTTTTAAATATGGATATGATCGGGAATGATATCACTGAGCGATTCAGGTTGACTATGACACTACCCCTTCCTTCAGGGAATGACTGGGCATTTTAAAACCTCCGCGAGTTTTTCTGTTTGTTGGATAACGTACGAAAAATTCCCGACAACTTACATGTATATTCGGGGTGACCTAGAAAACATCTGTGTCCTGGAAATCATCTTGTTGTGCTAAAAAAAAGATGTGTATAAAAGCAAAAAGGAAAGAAAGAAAGAAAACAAGGAAGTCCTCCGGGTTATGTTTTTGTTTGTGAGGTTACGTCAACGTCTAGTCTCGCGCGCCTTGTCTACGTGCCGCCCGAGAATTATCCCCAAAATGAAGAGCATTCTCGCAGGTTAGTGACTGTCCAATATATACTACAACAAATATTCTCTGTCTTTATTTGCTCTTTGTCATGCTTAATTCGCTTGTCACTGTCCGGAATAGCACAACGGATCTAAAACATTAGATTCCAGCATGGTTTTTTTTTTATTTTTTTGGCAACTTTTTGACGAGAACAAGTTTAACGATCACCAACATATTTGACCTCTTAATTTGAAAACTTCGTCAAACGTAACGATCCGAACAAAGGGTCTCATTACAAACCGTCAGCAAAATTTGGTTTTGTCAAAATTTTGCCAGTGTGAACTTTCGCTCAGGCGATATTTCTGCAAAACGAAATTTCGCTTCTGTAGATGGGAAAGAGAGAGAGAGGCTGCTCGCGGTTTACAGTTAGTTGCAATGTTTGAAAAATATTGAGGGTCTTAGTTTTCAAGACACCCAGGGATCTGAGGTTTTCGGGAGGTCTTTGTTTTCGAGACACCCAGGGGGTCTGAATTTTTCAGTATCTGAGGTCTGAGTTTTCGTAACACCCGTGAAGAAAGTTGTCTGAGATACATGCGGCATGCTCAAACTGTGGGATTTTGGTAGGGTTTATATGGCCACCCAACATTAAACTTAATTCACAGTGAAATCTCTTCTGACAAACCTTGTCACACCCCACGCCTACACATGTTTTCTTTTTTGCCCAGCATGTAATGATCGTCTCTGTTAGAGGGGACGGAGTAGGTGTGCGCATGTGGCAAACACATGTCATATATGAAAGCAGGTCATCGCACTTTTAGACGCAAGTTTTGCAGTTGTGAAAAGAAAGCCTGAAAAAAAAATCAGGCTTGCACGGTACTGGAACCCTTGACCTCTACCATACCGGTGCAGCGCTCGTACCACATCATCACCTTAAAGAATCCCCGCGATCGCACAGGCATGCGAGCGTTGACGTTGCCAGCCTTTCCCGACAGCTGGAAACAGGAGATGGAAATTTTTTCGATGTACACGCAACGCCCGTTTGGTTATATAATGATGGATCTACACCTGGCGTCCGACTATCCTTTTTTGATTGTGGACGAACCAGTCACCCAAGAGGACGGATCTCCGATTGTGTATAATCGCACTTCATGAGGAAAAGACAGATCACAATTCCCTAACGGCTATTTCGTTTGCCGGTAAATTGGATGAAGTCACGTACAATAGAGATTTATTCCCTATAAGGCGCAAAGATAACGACATAAACGCGCCAACGAGCCAAGCCATCCAGCTACAGCCTCAGTCAAAATTGTTGGAACACCTGACTGTCTTCTCGCTCTCCTAATGTTAGTTCATCGTGGGTCCTGTACTCATGAAAAAGCGTGTTGGTGGCTAGTTTTGCGGCTGCGGGAGTATTGGCCAAAGGATGGTTCAAGGTGAAAAATTCCAAACAAAGCGGTCGTTCTGCCCATACCACCTGTGGAATTAGCCCATAATCCTCTTACTTAGCAACCGCGCTTATTGACCTATATAACCTGATGCGATTGTACGATAGCTCAGTTGACCTTAGACCTTGCTCATGTTATCTCCCAATCATTAAATTATATATCCTTGAACATATACTTGGCCTTCACTCTTCGTTTCGCCTCCGATAATCGCACCCCAGCTACGAGTAGATCCTGACGGAATTACGTTTGTACGTGCGAGGATTGCCCTTAGAAGAATTTTGCAATATTTTTGGTGCGAGCAAAAACAACCTTGGAAGATGTGATCACTGATTTCACGCGCACTGTTCCCGACGGAATAGTGACGTTGGGTTGGGTTGATGGTAAGAGGAAAAAGAAAGGGTCGACGAACCAGACTAACACAGCGTGGAGAAGCCGTGTTTCGACGAAAACCGCTATTGAGCGATAAGACAGCGGAACGATTGGCCTTGGGATTGCTGAGCCCTGCTCCCACGGTTGCTGTTAGGTAAACAAGCATTGAAAAGCATAAAAATAACGTGAACATTGTCCCTCGGTGCAGAAGACAGCAATCAGGGGTAAGATTGTTGAGAGTGTTGAGCACCGCCGCAAAACAAGCCTTGAAACTGAGCAGATCCGAAGGCTATCGACGTTATGGGGCCAAGAATGCAAGAGGACATTTTGAACGCCGAGCTGCTACTTGGGAAGTATATAAAGCAGATGGCAGAAAAGGAAAGGTCCCTGACCTTCAGTTACGACAACGAAACAAGAAATTTTGTCATGCACAGTACCAGGTTTTATCGGATTATTCAGAGGAACCCAAAAATCCATGTTTTAATACTAGGGGGTGGGTCATGTAATTTCCAACCTTGCTTTAGGGGTGGCTCAGTCATTTTTGTACCGAAGGGAGGGTTAGAGCCATGTGTTTTTTATGAACCCCATTTTCAAATGCTCCGGCCCAACCCCCCCCCCCCTATACTTTTTGATTAGTCCCTAAGGCTGAAAATAGCTTAAAATATGTGCATCGTGGCCACACGTATTTGACAAGTAGTCATTCACAGTTTTGATAAAAAGAAACCCAAAAATCCGTTTTTTAATACAGGGGGGGGGGTAGTGAAATTTCCAACCTGGTTTTGGGGGGGGCTATGTCTTTTTTGTCCCAAAGGGGGGGTTAGGCCATTGGTTTTTTTATAACCCCATTTTTAAATGGCCCCGGCCCAACACCCCCCCCCCCTATACTTTTTGATTAGTCCCTAAGGCTGAAAATAGCTTAAAATATGTGCATCGTGGCCACACGTATTTGACAAGTAGTCATTCACAGTTGCGTTATTTTTGCATACATAATAAGAAGGCGGGATGGCAAAAACAATGTTTTCCTGAAAGGCGTTTCCCTCCTCCCTCCCTCCCTCTCTCCTCGCGCGCCCCTATTCTCTCGCTCCCAAAACCCCTTTTGCTTTCCTTTTCAAACGCCTGCCACGCAGGCTTTCTCAAAGCCCGTTTCACGTTTCTGCTGCTTAGGTGGTTATTCGGGAAACGGACCTTTAGTTTTCTGGCCGGCGGTGTGATGGGGGCGGGGCGGTTGTCGTTAGGGATATCCAATCAGGGAACGCTTTATCTTGACCTCAGTTCTCGGGAAACATGATCCAGGTAATGCTAGGCGAATCCTTGGCTTGGCAATAGCTTGGCTTTGAATTGAAGGAAGCGTAGGAAATGAACGTACAAGAAGCGATTAACGCCGGCGTATCTAAGGAAACTAGCTTGGCTTCAAAGAAATTTAAGGCTCAAAGGATAGCGGTAGAAGGATACGTTAGTGTTCAAGATTTCTTGCTTGTTGCGTTGACAGACTAGGGAATAGCCCAACAGTCCACATCGCGCCTTTGGAAAACATACAATAGCAGAAACTTTCGACCATAATAATGTTTGGGTGGACTTCTCTGTTGATTTCCCGAAGGGAATAGGTTTAGCAGTGATGCTAGGTTCCTTGAATACGAGGGCTTTTCTTTCGCTAGGAAATTGATCGGTAGAGTCTAGTTTGCCTTTTGACCGATTCGATGGAGCCACATACAGTCCAAGGTTTAAATAAATCTTAGGTATTTTGAAAACGGACCTCTGGAGCCAGGGAAAAGTCCCCTGCCAGGCTCTCTTTCGACGAGATAAATTGCTCCCTTATTCAAAAGAACTTTTTTCTCCTTGTTTTCGTTGCTTCTGGCACGGTTTCCACAAATAATTTCATTTTAAACAGCTTTTCTTAATCGTTGTCCAGCTTCACGCCCAAGAAGATTTC